GTCTGTAATGCATCTCTAAATTATAGTTAACGCAAACGAATTGTTTGTTAATTAAAACCTAATCCCAATCATAAAGACCTAATTTTAACCAAGAACAGTGTGGCATCTGGTAAAATTCTATTTATGTCGTTGTAAAAGTTTAAGAATACAGGTAATCTATTTTCAAATCGACGTATTTATACACCGTCACTTCTTCCATTTACAGACAGAGTAACTTGTATGAAGGCTTAGTACATTCACTAAATATGTAAAATTTGTAATATTATTGTTTATTTTCATAAATTACTCCGTTACAGGAACTGTTTCTCTATTGTTCAAAAACTGGCTGGTAACCCTTCTTGATTGTTTCAAGTCTAACTCTATACTATACACTCATCTGTTATGTAACTTGTAAGATCTGCGGTGTGAGATATTGGTAAGATAGGTTTATTGGAACTAATCGAAAGCAGCAATTATACTGGGTATTACGAGAAAAGACTTGCTAGTTATTTTGAATTCAATCATGTTTGATATTCAATTTGTTAGTTTTAAAGACGAGCAAACAATTCGACGATAAAAACCTTAGGGTTAAGAAAATGTGATTCAATCTGCTGGAAAATGTTTTCTAGTTACAGATTTCTTTTAGTAGATAACGGTGAAAAGTCTAAAACGGAAAGAGAAAACTAATATTTTTACTAGAGTTTTTCAGAAAAAATTATCATTTACAATAATCATGTTATAAGATTATAGTTCTCTGTGGTAGATTTTACAATTAATAGCGTTTTCAAAAATAAGTAAAATCTGAACTATTGAAATGAATCAACATGAACAAATGAAAGTGAACATAAGTTGACTGGGATGATCAACTAGCCGTTTTGTGAAATTAGATATGATTTTGTGAACAATGCAATACCGAGTAATGTGTGAGATTAAAACTCGGATCTAATTGTTTACTTGTCATCTCGTTTAAAACTTTCTTCATGATATAATACTCTGTGCAGTCATATGCAATCGGTTCAAAATCATCATGAAACTTGTTGGCGAAAAATTCAACTCGTGACGTTATATACGGAAGGTTGTTTATGCCTATAATGCAAACAGCACGGCGCACTCTTGGGCTTTTGCATCCTTCATGATACCATGCTACATAACGAGCTATGAATTTTTTCCGTGGATCTGAATGATTAGTAACATGAATTTCATTACAAGCACCAGGGGCACCAAGTAGTGGATTATGAGTTAGTGTAGGAAAAAATAATTCATCTGGATGTCTTTGTAGGTGTCTTTCTTCTTTCATCGCATTGAGAATCTCGTTTGCTTTTTGATCAGTTCGATAGAAATGAACGAACTCGCGCTTTAATGCCATGTAGAAACTTCCCTTGTTCCAAATAATCTGGAAGAGACAAATGGTTCTAGAGATAATGTTATTGTGACAAAATACATGATTCCACACACACACACACATGTATACTTATATACGAACAAACAATAATCTATTTTTTACAAAATCTATTCATATCATGCCAAAATGCGATTGAGTATAGTTTTAAAGCTTACTTTACTGTTAATTCTGGTATTTGGTTAGCGTTCAATTCATTTCAATAAAAATTGATGTGAATAAGTCAAAATAGGTTAGTTTTAGTTTTTAATCACAGTGAATAACATAATGTGCATGGATTTTATGGATGGATTTTCCTATCTGTGAAGATGATGAATTATCGAGAATGGGAAATCTGCTTCATTGAAGTTATGTTGTCGCTTAGAATTCCAACAATACATGAGGATTCGTTTGAGATGCATGTTTTAGTGGCCCCTTTATTTTTACTCCAATTAGATCGTATGTTGATTGCTATTGAATTATGCATGTCGTCTATCCTCCCATATTATTGTTGACGTAACTCGTGGTAGTGTATAACTGAATTAAATAAGTCAAATACGAGAATAAATTTTGAATACGTTTATTTTGTGCACTCATTGGTCTGGACAGACAGTCAGAAGGACGAAGCGAAATGATGTGCGGTAGAGAAGGCGTGTGAGTCAACTCTATTTAATCAATCGTTAATTGATATTTACAGTCGAATACGTTACAGGGATGTGAGAGTAAGATAAGAAATGCACACACATCCGCTTACATCAAAACAGTCAAGTTTGATAAGCGAATAAGAAACAAGGTTAAAATATAGCTTGAAAACAGTAGAAAAATTGGTTTGTTCAGAGCTAGAATAAGCTATGTGGACTCGACATAGGACTGGCCACTACAGTGTATTCAATAGGAAACACCTTATCATTTTAAAAGAAATAAAATGTTTGTTTGGAATGAAGCAATGACAAATTATATACGTTATGAGTATTATATTAGCTTTTTCAAGTGAAAAGTTGTGGTAAACAATCGATATATAATTGTTATTTGAAGTGTGAGAAATGTATGTGCTAATCAAGAGAAACTTAGTTGCATGTTAATCTCCATCTCTAGCGATTTACATCACTCCATTCGAGAATCTAACGTCAAAGAAACTATAGTGACTACATTACACATCAAGTTCAATATTATAAAGATTAATGAGATTCGTATGATATTGATGGTTTTCGCCAAATACTCAGTAGATTACTGACTGCAACATTTTGAATTGCATAATTAAAATGTTTACTCTTAAATAATGGGTTTGAAGTAACCATTAATTTGTAGGTATTATATTTAGGAATTTCAGATTGATCCCCATAGTTTGAATCCGTGCTATAGACTGAATTAAATAACCGTGGGACGAACGCTGTTTACCCCTTCACATATTTACTTTCTAACTTCACGGAAGAAAGTTCAAAAGAGAATTTTACATCATAGCCTAATTGAATTATTTACACGTGGTTATCGACTTAGTTTCCAGGTTATATTCTTCGTGCTTTAATATCCATTTGTATCCCACTAAAAATTAACTAGTAATCACTACCATTTTATTTTATTACGGAACTCTTCAAGTATTGTATGCGTATATTGATGATGGGCAGTAGTGATCTATTTTCAGCTGTTGTCGAAGCAAGATGGTAATATTTGATGGGATTGTATAATTTTAACGCTATATCGCCAATTCATTGTAGTTGAATATATAGACTGTTGGATTGTAAGTTGGTGGTTTCAAGATTATGCGATAGCCATTAGATGAGAGAGTCGCGACGTCTTTCCATAGCAGAGTTCTAAGTGTGGACTCTTGAGGATTTCCATACTTGTGATAAACAGCTATTCAGTGCTCCTTGGTTTCCAATGCTACCTTAATTGATGTTCGTTTTTAAGGAATATCATTTACACACTTTCAACTGAATACTTCACTGTAAACGAATGAAACCGTTGTTTACAAATTAAAGACCATACATTTACTATTGATGAAACCCACATGATTTCAATCTCAAGTTTAAGGTAATTTTAATGTAAAATCAAAAACATTTGAGAGTTGATTTCTACATAGGACGAGAGCATTAGTCGGATCTGAGACGTTACTGAAATTTAAAACACCTAATCAAAAATTAGGTTGGACTCCTAAAGGACTGCTTAACTGAAATTTAATAAATAGACATTTTAGTGTTCAATCTATTGAGTTAGTAAAATGATTTGAATGTGATGAATATTTTGGAATTCGTGTCTGTAGACTAATATATTATTTCTGTAAATGAAATGTTGGGAAACTGGATGCCTCACTGATGTGTATATGAATCGTGTATTCGTTAATGGTTTTCAATATGATGTGATGATGAGCTCTCGAGTGACAAAATTTCTAGTTATAATGGTATCTGGAAATAGATTTAGAATCTCCTATGGATACAAACATCACATAAACAAAATTCGACAAGTGGATATTGATACAGTGAAGCCAACTAGAATCCTAGTCAGTAAATTTAGTTAACTACTCAGGAATACAAAACAATCAAATGCATTTATAAAAAACAACTTCGAAAATACAAGAGATATATGTGTAAATTCAATATTGCAGTTTTATTTCAGACTGTTTTACGAATCGTTATTTTACTTCTGCTACTATATAACTGATTACACAAATGTCGTATAGTGTCCATTTTAATCATATTTACGTTTACTGTAGTTCGACAAGTTTGATTTGTCATTATAAAGGCTTCTTCATGGTTGCTCCAATTAGACATGCAACAAATGTTTCATAACCGTATTTACTTTATCATTATATTAATTTTCAATAGAGAAAATCATTATCAAGATCGTAATAACTGTAAAACTTACGGTAAATGAGAAATTCTTTTTAGGCCAACGTGAAGGGTTGAAACTTGGACCTAAGCCTTCAACGACATTTGATCCGTTTATTGCTTTCAATGCTGCAACCAACTCCCAGTTTGTCCTCAAAGGTAATTCTTGTCCATTCATATTCAATAAATATTTCCACATATAGTCTGTGTTTTTTATTAATTTGTCCGCACATGCAAGAAACGCTTCAAGTAAGGAATAATATCCCCACTGAATATTTATACTTTCTGTCCGGTTCAACACCATAACATTTAAACCATAACATCGGGCCAACTCTAATACTTGATCATAAAATTCAATTGGGGATTTCGAATCTACATGAATACAATACAAATTATGCGGTCTGTATATCAGTCGGAGTAGTCGTGATACTTGTTTAATACTTTGATGAACAGATAAACTAAATGCTAAAGGAAATAATTTTTCTTCCATTGAGGATTGAATGACATGACCTTGGAACAATTTAAACTCTTCACATGTTTGAGGATTTGATAAATACATAGAGCTTTCGTTCCGATTTGACTGAATACTTTCAAAAACTCCATTATTGGGTTGTACGATTTTGGTTGTGAGCAAATATTCACAAATTTTTTTAACTTCACTATATTTTTCTGTCTGAAACTGATTCAAATCATTACTGACTCCAATGTACCAATATAGTAGACAATATAGCATAAGGATTGATAAAATTAGCAAACTTCTCAATATCAACCTCTTCATTTGAATATAATGACAAAATCGTAGTGTGAATGTTTTTATTTCATGTGGAAGCATCATTTATCCTGTTATTGAATATACACATCCAACTATGTGACTTTATCTGAAAGAGAAACCAGAATATGAGAATCACTCAAATTGAATGTTATTTAAATAAGAGAAGAAAAAATTCATAAATTCTTCTGAAACAAATAAATAAACATTTGACAGGTATACCATAAGCAAGTGGTATGATTACACACAAATTTTGAGTTTAAAAGAGCACACTCATAGACAGGTTCATCTAAATGTTTGACCTCAATAAATCGTCATACAATTGTGCTTATTTGACATTTACGGATTCACAATAATCTGTGCATGATTTCAAAATGTTACTCACTACGCCTACTGACATATATGTATATAAAATTTAATTGGATGAAGAAAGTACTGTTTAAAGGTGCTATCGTAGTGAACGGAAACCCAGGTACGGTAAACCAGTTTATTATTTTATACAAAAGTACGCCGTGAGTTTGTAGTATATGAAGATCATACGTTAAATACATCATTTGTAGTCCATCATTCTCCCGATTCTGCTGTTATTCCGATAGCTCTCTGCTTTCCTTCCTCTTCTCTTCATTTCAGTCTTCTTCTGGTTAACATTCTAATTTCAATTCCTACTACGCACTACTTATATCTATCCGCATGAGTAGTGTACGACAACACTAAATATATTCTCTGTTTTATAGATTATTTATTAGTACACAATTTTAATACAATCCAAACAGAAACTGTTGCATTAGGGTTGTTAGTTACGCTTTTGTGAAGTGTGCATATTCATATATTTCAGTTTTCAGCAAATTGTAGAATAACATATCAACTTAAATTCTAGACTTATTAAATCATAAACTTTCTTAGTGTATATGGTACCTTTTCCCATTTATAAATAACAATTTACTAATTAAAGACATTTCTCTTACCATTTTGATAAGCATGTTTCAGATGTTATGATTTGTAATGTATTACACGCTATTTTTCTATATTTTTCTTACAGGAATTGTGGCTGTCGGTATTCGATATAATTCTGCTCGTCCTGATAACCGTTATTAGATAGCGCAGGACGGTGCATAAATCAGAAGACGAATACGAAGCATTCATTTCGTTTACTGTTGCACCACACACAGATCACCAAGACCACAAGCACACGAAGCAAGAATGATATGCGAGTGCCGAAGAGCAAGCGAACGAATGGAGTCAATGAACAGGATTAAAATGTACATAAATATACATAGAAAAAACGACTGAGTCATCGGATCATTTAAGCGATTAACACTAAAGTTAGTAGAATGATTATGTGCGTTGTCGGTAAGCAATGCTCAAGCATACATGTTCATACAAGCGCAAAAATAATAAAAGTACGATGGTATAGATAAGTTGTTCTTGTTGTTATTGTACGTATGACTCTGTTAAATAAGTTAATGAAAATGCTTAACCAAATTAAATGTAAACAAACTCAAATGTATGTAAGCTTCTATAGAATACATTGTTTGTAAATGGTAATCTTAAATGACTATCTATAATTGGTGTTAGTTTCTGTTGTTTGAAATAAAGGTTAAAGAAAATAATGAATTTCACAGATTGTTATAAATTTAAAACTCAGATAATTAATGTAAACAATTTGTTATTGACGGTTTATAAACAGTGAAAAAACAATATTGATTATTTTCAGTTTATTTCTTTGATATATAAAGTGTTCTACACAATTCCTCCATTCGATAAAATGATTATTGTATAATAAATACAAATGAATAACAATCCCTTTCTTTAATTAAAAATTTTGAACATGATAGTCGAATAGCACAGATCTTTTATGTTGATTTAGATATTAGACTCAGGAATATTCTAGACTGTATTGGACTGCTTTTCAGATACATCTATTATTTTCAAACTATAAAATCTAAGGTGGTTATAGTACATTCATCAATAGTGTGTTTTAAATTTTATTTGTAATTCAGAATTATCAGAAAGGAGATTTAGTGGAGATTGTAGTAATTTAATAGTTGAACTCATGAGTCAAATAAAGCTGGAGCACCCTGGAAAACCTGGAAGCACTGAACCGCCGTTTCGTCCTAGTATATAACTCCTCAACATCACATTTGATTTTGATCACTTAAATACTGTCACCATTCTCAGTAATGTTTGTTTTTAATTTTTATCATCTATCTTATGTTTAGCATAATCTATTTAAGTAATTTAGTAATCTAATATTACTCTTACATCTGTCTTACTAATTACTCATTATTATTTCTAAAAACAACGTCAAATGTTCATATTTCGATTTCAATCTTACTCAACCGCTATTCTTGTTCTTAAGTAAACACTTGTAATAAGTAAACAGTTATGTAACGTTGTTTCTGCTTTAGTTTTATATTTGTCGAACTAATAATATTGAGATACATTGGTAAATTGATTCTTCACTATTTATTTACTATTGATTTTTCACTAGATCTTGAAAGCTATAAATCAGTGTAAAGCCATTAGAATGGACTATGTCTCATTTTTGTACTAAATTTGCCGGTAAAAATATTCAGGTAAAAAAACAAATGAGTAACTTGTCGATCAGTTCAATTTGGTTTGTATTTAGTAGCTGAGGTTTTTCAACTTTCTTACAATGTCGTATCAGATAATCATTCCCATATGAATAGGAATTATAAGACATATTAATAACAGTATCATCATTTAGTTGACGGTAAGCCGTTTCACACTTGAAACAAGGACTCTCTGCTTGAACTTCCTATTCCAAATAATGACTCACAAACATTGGGTATAATACATTAACGTTGCTGCTAATTGTGACTCCTAGATCTTTATAACCCGTTACTTTAGGTAATACCAATTCACTTATTGTGTAGCTATGTAAATCGTCGCAATTATTAATTCGCACCACTACGCTTGTTTAAATTAATTTCTAATGACCACCTATTCATCAACTCCACCAGTGAATTCAAGTCTTAATGTTATATTAACTTATGAGACATAACGTCACACGGTAGAAAAGTACAATGAGATCCAATCGGCCAACAGTCAACGTGTAATCGACTGTATGCCAATATTAGTTATTGAGAACCAAAGTAAGGAAAAACTGAAAAATATAAATATAGCTATGGTGACAATACGAAGTAATCTTTTATGATAACATACTTGTATTCCGTACTGATGATAGTTTAATTTGTTAAATAAAGTTTCCGGACCACGCCAGTCAATTTTTTGTCTTGTATATTTAGTTGGCTTATTATTTAGTAGTTGAGGTTGTCGATTGACAACAGATAAACGTCTTCTATCAGGAGGAAACTCCGGATCACAAAGTTCTCCCGTCACTTGAGGATAGATATTTGGATGATATTCTGAATAAGGCAAATAGGTGTTGACATTCCTCACACTCCCTAAATTCATCCAGACAAGGCATTTTCGTACCGACAATGCACGTACATGGTACCCCAGCATCGTATCGAGTTGCTTGAAATTGTACGCGAACAAACATTTCAAATTGTTATGAATGAACAGAGGCTTTTGTGTAACCAGTTTTATGACTAAATTCAAATGGTTGTAGACGGAATAGAAGAAGCTTTCGCTTAACGGGCTTCCGTATCTAGTAGCAGTGGATCACCAATACCTCCAGGCAGGAACCTAGGTATATTAACGATAATAGAGGAAAAAAGAAAGTAGTAAATCATAGTAAGATGTTATCCTTAGTCCTTAAAAATAGGTCAAGTTTCCTCTTAAAGGACACCCGGGAAGTCGCTTGGACTAGTTCAGTCGGCAGCGAATTCCAGCATTTGACAACTCTTAAGGAGTAGAAGTTGTGTCTACAGTCCGTTCTGCTATGTTGTATCTCCAATTTCTAGGTGTCACCCCTTAGGTTTATATCGGAACTAAGCTTAAGTAGGTGTTTAAGGGGATGTCCAGGAGTGTTAAGGATACTGTAAGCCTAAACTGTAATGGGTAAAGGTTAACTGATTGGAGGCGCTATTCATAAGGTTAGAATTTGAGTCCTCGCACTGATTTCGTGGCTCGCCGTTGGATACTGTAGCGGTAAATAAATCCCCAAAATAAATAGCTCTGTTAGTTTTCGACATTGGATGCTGACCACAGTTTTAGTCGACTCATCTAGCTGAAGGCGCTCGGTCAAGCATCCGCACCAGATCATGTGTGGGAACGCCTGTGCTCAACATCTACCGCAATTGCTATCCAGATTAGTGCCAACGATCCTCGATATATTGATAGCTTATCAAATATATCTCCGATCTCCTCGCTTCTGTCTCCTGATCTCACTTGGTGGGTGCGCTTCATATTAGAAGTTGTAACTGGTTAAAGCGTTGTCAAACTCCGAATACCTGTGGCATCTTCATGTGTGAGCCCGACGTGATCTGGTACACCAAATTGAAAACTGTGAGTCTGTTCCTTTTTGTGATTTTATATATCATTGTCTTATTTTAATTTTTTATACATTGTGATATTTTTTCCCCATTTTTTGGATAGATATATATTTCCCACTAGTTCATTTTCGTACTTGATATATTACTATGACTGAACAGACACCTAAAGTATTTAAGTTAAAGACTGTGTCCCCACCTTCCTTCCAACTTATGCCTTCTGGCCAGACAACATCGAAGCCTGGTTTTGCTACGCAGAAGCCGACTTCTACTAGCACGGCGTGAACGACACACGCGCACAATTCCTCGCAGTAGTCAAGGCACTACCGCGCGAATTTAACAGGTACGTAACACCTAGTATGTTTACTAGTGATGTTTCTGACCCATACAAAACCCTCAAACATGCCATCCTTAAACGCGGAGATCTAACCGATCGACAAAGGTTAGACCAACTCCTTAACAACATCGACCTGCAACACGGCTCTGCCACAGACATGTTGCAAAGAATGAGAGAAGTTATTGGCCAACGAACCTTCGATGATGGCCTAGTTAAACAGCTTTTCTTATCAAAACTTCCTCAACAGGTGCAAGCTGTGCTGGTCTCGTTTCAAAACAACGCCGTAGACGAGCTGGCGGCTTCTGCCGACTGCATTCTCGAAATCACTAGATCTAACGACGAGGTGTTTTTAGTCAAAGCAAAGCCTCAAACGACTCAGAATGTCATAACAGAATTATGTCATACACTTACGCGTTATCTCAAACTCCGATACAACCGTAAACGGTCACACACCCCGCGAAGAAGCACATCACGTAGGCGATCTGTTTCTAGACCTCGAGAGACGGATAATGCTGACTGGTGCTGGTATTATAAACAGTATGGAATGTCCGCCAGAAATTGCAGAAAACCCTGCAAGTTGTAACTGTAGTCTGAAACATGTCGCAGATGGACTGCTTTACACTTTGACGTGTTAAAGGTAAGTTCGTTATCGTCTGCCCAACTTTGAAGTCGAGTCAGATTCTCCTCAAGTGCCTGCATATCATCTTGCTTGCGTATCTCACTCCGAAGTTTCACATCATCAGCAAAGAGTAATACGTCTGACGATAGCTGTAGTGAAAGATCGTTTATATGAATCAAGAAGAGAAGAGGTCCTAGTACTGAGCCCTAGGGGACAACAATGAGACATTCCATAGCCTGAGATAAAGTGAAGGTAACCCTGACCTTAAAATGTCGATTTTTTAGATATGAAATGAGCTAGTCAGTTAGAGGTGGTCTGATGCCCAATCGTTTGAGATTATTGATGAGACATGTATTGATGACCCCGTCAAAAGCTTCTGAGAAATCAAGGTAAATGATATCAACCTTTCCCTTGCGGTCAAGGATGCTTGTCCATCTGTCCACAGCAGTCAGCAGGTTGGTTATACAGGAGTAACCCTTCCTGAAACCATGCTGTTGGGGTGAGAAGAAATTTAAGGACAGTAAATAGTCATGTATACCATCGCATATCAGGGACTCCATGCTTCTTAAGGTATGGAGAGAAGAGCCACTGGTCGGTAACCTGGAGGTTCGCTGCGTCGACCTCCTTTGAAAATTGGTGTGATGTGGGCCAGCTTCCAAATTCCCAGTGATTCGCCTCGGCTTAGCGAGTGTGAGAACATCACGCTAAGCGGTGCTGCTAGGATTGAAGCTGCTTCCCTCAGTATAGCAGAATGAACCAAATCTGGGCCAGAAGTGTATTTTCTTAGGTGCCGCAGTTTCCGGAACGCCAAGTCAGCGCTCAGGTTTACTACGGAAAGTCCTGTGCAGTTGCAGATGAGGCTGTCATCAGTATAGTTGATGTGGGTCGGTTGAAATGTCCGAGAGTATTGTTCAGCCAAAAGGTTAGCGGCGTCGCCGTCGTCATCGGTCAGGCCATGAGGACCTGGTAGTTGGGACACTCTAGTTTTGGCTTGACGAAGAGAGGCTGCACAACGGAATAAGCTTTTCGGATCGGAGACAAATTTATCCATATTTTTATTTGGTACTGAAGCCTGTCTTCTCTTATAGCTTTCGTGCATATGTTCCTTATATGTTTGTATTGCCTGTACGCGCCATTGTTGTCGGTTCGTTGGTGTTCTGCCCAACAGTGCCTTTTGCGGCTTAGCAAACGAAGAGTGAGGTTCTTGATGATTGTAGGTTGCTTGTAGCTATTGTGGACCGTTTGAGGAACTGACTGCTTTGTAGAACATAAAAGCGTGTGCAGTAAAAAGTCCCAATGAGCATCCACATCAAGTTGAGAGTGAACATCACAATTCACCTGTTGTAGATATCTCTGTATAGCTGAAATATTCAACCGTTTAAAATTCTAGCGCCAGCTATTGGTGGGATATCTTAGCTCAATTTTGCTGACAAAACTGAAGGCTATAACAGCGTGATCGCTTTTCCTCAGGGGAGCCAGGATTGAGAGGCTGTCAACTAGAAATTCTTCGCTTGTGAATACCCAGTCTAAGCGTGACGGTATCTGACTATTTCTCTAACGAGTTGCCGACTTCACATTTTCGTACAATCCCAAATCCTCAATGAGATTGAAGAACCGTGCTTCAGTTGAATTTTCACTTCTCATATACGTATGTTCCGCGAAATTGACTCTAGGGAGATTGAAGTCCCCTAGAATCAGGATATGAGGGAATCCGAGACGCGTAGAGCGGAATAGTCCTTCCAGCATACGACTATCACATTCGATGTCAGCAATGGGCTTCCTATAGATGACCCCGACTAGGCACCCTAAAGTAGTAGACAATATTACTGAGCACCGTAAAGATTCATCAAGATTGTTAAACTCGTAGTTGTAAACTTGGTGTAGAGTCAATGGATGACCAATTCTCTTTAGTATTCTGTCTTAAGTGACAAGAATAGTTAGTCAGTTGGTCAACGTAGGCATCTCTTTGAAGAACCAGTATCACGAACATTTTCAAGGTTACACCTATTCGTAGACTGTTAGTCTGTTCCTTTTTGGAACTTTATATATCAATTTGTTACTTTAATTTTTACATATTGTGATACATACTTTATATTCATCATAACCGAACAGACTCCTGAACAATTTAAGATCAAGACCCTTACGCCACCCTCATTTCAGCTAATACCATTCTGTCCCAACAATATTGAAGCCTGGTTCTACTTCGCAGAAGCTGACTTCCACGAGCAAGGCTTGACCGATCCATGTGCACAACTCCTCTCAGTAGTGAAGGCATTACCGCTCGACTTCAACAGGCACATCACACCTAGCATGTTCACTAGTGATGTTTCGGAAACTTACGAAACTCTAAAAAGGTCTACTCCTAAGAGCGGAGATGTGACTGATTGACAACGTTCGAACCAACTCTTCCACAAAATCGATCTACAATATGACTCAGCAACAGGCATGTTATTGAGAATGAGAGAGGTCATTAGTCAACAGACCTTCGACGATGGCCTGTTTAGACAACTCTTCTTGTCTAAGCTTCCGCAGAAGGTGCGGGCAGTGCTTGTCTCATTTCAAAACAACGCTGTAATTGAGCTGGCTGTATCTGCCGACCGAATTCTGAAGATCACCAGAATCTCTAACGCCGACACGAAATGACGTTACGGAATTTTGTTATACTCTGATACATTACCTTAGTATTCGTCATGACCGTAGACGATCCCAAACTCCTTGAAGGAGCACTTCACAAAAACGATCTGTCTCCAGATCAATATGGAAATTCCTCTTGAATTTGCAGAAAACCCTGCGATTTTCCGAGCTCCAAACCGACCGACACGAAAAAGGTTTCGAGAAGCTTCTCAGCCTTCGCGCGTTAATGGCATGGCAGCCTGTTGTACATCACTGGTATGACCGCGGAAGTTCTCTACCTTGGTAACTCCGGCGCAGAGGTTAGCGTTCTTTCGGCAAATTCTAACAACCGACTGCTTGAAGCAGTTTTCAACTTACAGGCGGCAAGTGGGAAACCGGTTGCCATATATGGTAAGCGATATGTTTATCCTAGCGTGGGTTCACGCAAACTCATCCACTGGATTTTCGTTGTTGCAGATGTTTCTGTGTCAATAATTGGTAT